ATCAGAACTTTCCAAAACAGGCCAAAATGAAATTTGTAGTAAAATTACAAACTATTAAAAATACTGACTTGGTAACCAATTAATGGCTCATGATTAGTGATTATAGTCCTTCCAATATAAGAAACGCACACTTTACAAGATTTGGACGAATGATGATTGGAGGAAAATGAAAATTCTTACTGGCTGTATGTCGCTTATTTTGAAAGTGTGCATTTCTTATTTTTAAGACGGACTATAGCACATATTCACATTAAATAAATGAATCTGGATTTTTTTCTGGGGGGGGGGGATCTGGTATTTCCTGAGCACTCAATCAGCATTTTACACTTGAAATTGGTATAACTTGCTCAATTTTCAAATGAAATGAGCTTTGCCCAATGGCGCTATGCTCCCTAAGGTCATTTTGTTATTCCAGGATAGGTAACATGACTCGAAAAGTAATTTTCAAAAAAAAATTCAACAGATTTTATTATATAAATTCAATATTTTGGTCTCAACGGATGCAGGATTTTCTTTCTTTTAGAATAATATAGTAAAGAAATTTTTGGGCAATCGGTCATAGCTCAACCCAGACTGTTTTTGTTAAAATCATGATTTCTGTATCAATTAGTAAGGCCCGATTTTATAAAGAGTAATCAAGGTCTGATCAAGCAATTATCACACCAATTCCCTAGTGAATCAGGTGATGATTGCTTGATCAGACCTCGATTACTCTTTATAAAATTGGGCCTCAGCATTTTCTACTTTTCCAATCAAGTCTCAAGAAATTTTCGTTTTCAAAATAAGTACAAAAAATTTCAAGATGAACCATAATTTTTAAAATTTAATTTCTAGTAGTTTTCAACTTCACTGTTGGACAAATGTCTAGGAGCCATATTATCAAGTGTTCAAATTTTTTTTCTGAACAAAAATCATCAGCGACACCTCAGTCCACCAGAAGGATCGATTTCGTACCCAGATATGAACAGTAGTGGGGTAGAATTGGCGGAAATCGACTTCAGACACAGTAGTTCATTAATTAAATTTTCAATTTTCATAGGGTGAATTGGGCTCCAGCTGAAATGATCCCTTTCTCCATAAAAATTTCCTCATTCAGAATTTCAGCTTGTTTCAAAAAGTTCTTATTTCCATCGTCTAGTCTAATTCCTGGGGAAAAAAAAATCAAAAACCAAAAACGCCAAGAGGATCGGAATAAAGCAAATTCAGAATGTAATGGGAAACTGGAAAAAATAAGGATAACTCGAATCACGAGTTGACGACGATCGACCTTTGGTCGATGAAAAAGGAAAATAACAACAAAATACGCACGCGCAACAAAGAATGATGACATCACAAAGATGACCAGGCCGCTGAGTTTTTCCTTGTATTACGTGCACCTCTCTTTTTTTATGTATTTGTCAGAAGCTATTAATTAGTGAAAAAAATACATTTTAATGTTTGGCGACTGTAGGCCTGATTTTATCCAACTTTAGGCACAGTATTTACTATAGGTTTGTTCTTTTCGTTCGACACTAGTCGACACCAAGCGACACGGTGCGACACCGTGTCGCACCGTGTCGTTTGGTGTTTGCGGGTGTTTGGTTGGTGTTGATTTTGGTGTATCCAAAGCTATTGAACGAGAAAAACCCGACAAGGAAAAGTACGAAAAGAACAGCTTGGTGTTGAAAAGTGTCGCTCGGTGTCGCACCGTGTCGCTCGGTGTCGACTAGTGTCGAACGAAAAGAACAAACCTTATGCAACCAGGACTACCAGGAGTCATTACTTGGTGTTAAAAAAATTGTTTTTTCCATGGAAAATATTTCGTATCAAAGTATACACAGGGAGGGGGTAAAATTAAGGAAAACCGACTTGAGGCACAGTATTTTATTTTTTTGATTTTCACTTCTCATGGGGTCAAATCACAATCAAAGACCTGTTAATGAGATGGAGAGTTGCTACAGGGTTCAACAAACTGGAATCTAAGATAAACGTATTTTTCACCAAAATTGCCTCACTTCACATTTTAGCCTATCCTCTAAAATTTTGTTTTCCGACCTTAGGCACAGTTGAATGTGTCACATATTATCTGAGCTTCAAATTTAAATTGTGAGGCACACATTCAATTCAGTGTCTCCGTTCAGCTTAACACTCCTACCTGAATTCAAACGAAAAATTAATGAGGGTTGAGTAAGAATTCGAAATCCATGGAAACGATAATAAATAAGACTGTACTTTTTAAAATTATTTTAACGTGGCTTTTTGCGTTAAATTCGTGGTTGTTTTGTCTAATTTTATTAATTAGAATATTTTTCAATTACATTAAGTTTTTTTCTTGGCAACTCATCAGAAAAATGAAATCCTCCGTGGACATGGAGAAGCCACCATTACTGATGTGCATCACGAAACGCAAAGGAGATTTTATGAAGAACTGTTCATTTGGTGACAATGAAAACGAATTGTTATATGACATTCCACCAGATCGAGGAAAATCCTCAGAGTACTGCACTAAGGATGCGATCGAAAAATCTACTCTTTGTGGACCTTGTTATGCAGAACATGAGGTAAATTGTTTGCCTATAAATGACAATGCTATGAATTTTAGTGATACCTACTCTCTACAATCCAATTAGGAAGTTGTTTGTACAACATGGCATTTAATACTTACAGCCTTTCTAAATAGCATTGTAAAAAAAAAAAAAAAAAAAAATGAGAAATAAATTACGATTGTTAACTTGAGAGACTAAAGTAGGTATATGTTAGCGTTGATAAAGAATTTTTCGTTCAAGAAAATATTGAAGAACTTCGAGCTCATTCTTTAGGCTCATGGTATCAGATTCCCATTCTGAAGAGATGAAAAATCAAAAAAGATCTCGACAAAAGCTTTTGTATGTAGAACTATGAAATAAAGCCAAATTTTATTATTCTAGCCTACACATATGGAGAATATTAAAACCTAGGGTAGAAAAAATTGAGGACAAGTTTTTTTATAATTCAGTAGTTTCTTTTTTCTCGAAATTTCATAGACAAGTAACAAAGTCAGTTCTTACCTATAGCAAGTTGATTATTTTTCAAATTCCTCGTTCACAGGTTGTTACAACCAGGGTGAATTATGAAATTCGTGGAATGAATCATATTGAAGGTGGTTGGCCAAAAGACATTAATCCGACTGATTTGGAGCAAACTGTTCGTTTCAAGAAAAAAATTGAAAAAGATGATATGTACATTCATTCAGTCCGTCAGTTATCTTATGTGAGTCATTGAATTTATTGGGGAGCGTTATACATATCTAGCCTACATCAGTAAACTAACAAAAAAATTGTTGTTGCAGACAATGGAACACTGTATACGTCAGAATAATGCTATAAATATTTATGAAATGTACTTCGACGAAGAGGATAATAATCCTGTTTACGAAAATTACTGCTACAAAACTTTGAACATTTTTAGAGATCCTGTAAAACAGAAACGTCCGATTCAACAAATGTCATGGTCACCAGATGGT